TCGTCCTAGTGGTGTCCTCGTCCTAGTACCAGCACCAGTGGCAGTAGGAGTAGGAGCAGGGGTAGGGGTAGGAGTAGTGGTAGTAGTGGTAGTAGTGGTAGTAGTGGTAGTAGTGGTGGTAGTAGTAGCAGCAGTAGTAGTAGTAGTAGTAGTAGTAGTAGTAATAGTTATAATACTAGTTTTAAACAGTTAATGGTAGATTGTGATCAGTAGATAGTACATGGTAAATAGTAAATAGTTGTAGTAATAGTAGCAGTAACAGTAATAGTAACAGATACGGCATTGTAATCGTAATAGCATTCGCATAGTACTATAGTATTTGTAGTAGTAATGGTATTGGCATTGGCAATGGTATTAGTGTCAGTAACAGTATTAGTTTGCACCAATAATGCATAGTAGTTTTGATATAAACCCTAAACCCTAAACCGTGGTTTAGGGTTTAGGGTTTAGGGTTTAGGGCAGAATATTGTAACTCCATGGCCACCAGCTGTTCACTCTGAGCCGTCCTTCCCCTTCTGCTGCGCGGCTGAGGATCTGCGCTTGGCTGAAGGACGCCGCGTGTGGGAGTGTAGGGTAAAACCTAAACCCCAAAAACAAAGCCCGACAAACCATGGGTTTAGGGTTTAGGGTTTGGGGGTGTAAGGTTTAGGAAGCCCTAAACCCGAAAACCCTCAACCCAAAGAAAAAAACACCCTAAAACCTCCAACCATCTCAAATCCTGATCCGTTTATGCCTACGATTCTGGGATTTTGAGTGGGGGTTTGGCGCAAAGTTTAGTACTTGAGGGCTTTGGGGCTCACGCTCCGTTTTAATATCACGTTCGGGAAGAACTCGTAGATTTTAGTCGTATTATTTTTCCGTATTTGCAGTATCAAACGCCCAGAACCCCGGGGTCTGAGTGTTTAGGCCGTTGGCCAGGGAGCCCATACGATTCAGCAAGGAATATACCTTGTAGGGTTTCGGGGACCATAACAAAACCCATCAAACTCAAAACCCAGAACCCCTAACCCTAAACCCTAAACCCTAAACCCTAAACCCTAAACCCTAAACCCTGAACCCCTAGACCGATTACCATTGTCATTAAACCCTTCCGAGGCCCCAGAACCTTTGGCTCTTTGGAGTCTTGGGGCTTCTAAAGCCTTCTAGACCCGTATAGACCCATCCAAACGCCTACAAAATCCCAAGGGTTTAGGGCTTAGGGTTTAGGGTTTAGGGTTTAGGGTTTAGGGCAAAACGCCGCCCTAAACCCCTAAACCCTAAGCCCCCAAACCCTCAACCCAAAACCCTGCTACAGGACCATGAGAGGCAGGTGGACGCCTTTGCCGTCTTAGACGACTCGGATCTCTCTGGCGGCGGCCTTCTCGAAGGGCGGCTTGGCTCCTCTAACAGTTCCTTTAAGGGTTCCTTTGAGGGCTCCTTTAAGGGATCTATAGGGGGGTCCTTTAAGGGTTCCTTTTAAGGGATCTGTAGGGGGTTCCTTTAAGGTTTGAGGGTTTGTTTTGGGTTTAGGGTGGCTTGAAGGTCTGAATGAATAACCCTAAACCCTAATCCCTAAACCCTAAACACTAAACCCTAAACCCTAAACATCCCTAAACCCTGGACGAGGGTTTTTGGTGTCAAGGGGATAGCATGGAGCGCTTCGGGTTAAGGTGCTCAGGGGTTTCAGGTTCCGGGTCTGGGGTCTGCATCTTTGTCAGGGTTTAGGGTTTAGGGTTTAGGGTTTAGGGTTTAGGGTTTAGGGTTTAGGGTTGAAGGTTTAAGGTTTAGGGTTTAGGGTTTAGGGTTTAGGGTTGAAGGGTTCAGAGGCCTTGCATCCCCCGGATTTTGTCGCTTCTTGTTTTTGGTACTTCTACGACGATGTCGACTACTACCACCACTACTACTGCTACTGCTGCTGTTGGGACCACAGCTGCGCAGTCATCTGCGTCATTGCTATAGTTTCTGTAACGTTGGGATCCTATGTAGTAGTCCTGAGACGACATAGTCTTTCGCGGGTTCAAGGGGATTCGGAGGTGGCTTAGGAACTCTTGCCAACCTGGACCGAAGGGGTAAACGCCTGAAGCGGTTTTGCATGGTTGGGCGTCTATGCAGTCACATCCTCGAAGCTAAGCCCCAAACCCCATATGGAACTGACGGGCTCCCAAATAAAGGGCTTAGGCTGTAGGGTTTCGGACTTTCGGACGCCTAGAATGATGCTTAAGATGATGACGGCGGACAGCACGAGTATGCTTCTCATTGTGATCGCCGAAGGTGCAATGTATTGTCCTTGCTTCAAATCTAGGACATTTTCAGGTGG